AAAAAAGAAGTACTAGTTTTCATGTCTTAATACACTGAAAAATACCTCTTGGTCCCTCTTATATTCCAGTACCATCTCGTCTTTTAACAATGACATGTAATCTTGCTTCCTCCAATTAGACTATTGAGATGAAATGATAATTTGTATGTCAATGTTGTTCTGAAAAGGAAAAGGTGTGTTATCAGCTGAACCATCCAGACAAAAGAATTAGCTTTTTAGGATCTAATGATCAATGGCATCTCTTTAGATTCTAGCAAATGAAATCACATACAGTAGGTGGTTTTTCTGTAAGGGTAGGAACTGGAGTGCTCTGATTAGTAAAATGTTCTGCTTAATAGCTGGGTTATCAAAAAGGATATATTTAATAATAAAAGTACATTGAGGATAATGTTTCTTTTTTTGATAATTGAGAAGATATTTCATGTCATAATTCAGAAGATGTTCCATGTGGTTATCATTACATAAGTAGCATTGTACTCTACATGTGAGTACAGTTACTCAAGAGTTCTACTTGAGAAAAGCCCCAGTAACTCAGCCTTCAATATATAACTGGCAGTGAATATTCTAGAAGGGAATGATTAGCCAGGTTGTCACCTAATAAAGAAAAAAAAAGGTAAAAACTTAGTGCAAAGCAATTTAAAAATGTGTTGGTAAAAGTCCTGTATACCTAAGAACATGGGCAAGAGATACAGAATGTGGACATAAACAGATTGAGAAAAGACTGAGAGTTTTAAAAGAAAAATACAAAATATTAAAGCATCAGGTAATANGATTGAGAAAAGACTGAGAGTTTTAAAAGAAAAATACAAAATATTAAAGCATCAGGTAATAAGATATGACAAAACTGTGGCTTCAGAGTATTAAAAAAAGAACTAATATAATAAAATATTTGAGTACTTTTTAAAAAACGAATTACTAAGACTCTTTTCTGTCTATCACAGCGCAATTATCCATAACAACCAAAAATGTGGAAGGAAAATTTGTCCTTTAAATATGACATGAAACAGCTTCTCAAAAAATGTGTAATGACCATCACAGTTATATTCATGTTTTTGTGTCAGTTTAAAGGACGAGTTTTCTATTCAATTGGTAGGACAGTATTTTAAGGGTCATATATGCCTGGGACTCCAAAGGAGGCTGTGGAAATTTTATCATAGAAATGCAAATATTAACTATATATCTGGAACCTTAAGCACACTCCCAAAATAAGTTTCTGGTCAGAAGTAGTTTACAGCTAGAGAAGCCAACCCATGATGGACAGAGGTTGTTCCATATGATCACTTCCCCTCAAAATGTAATTGCTATGAAGAAAGGGACTTTCCTCTATGTTTCTTGGGGCTTGAGTTCTGAATCCATTGAGAGAGACAGGAAGCTGGCCAGGTAGAGGTAAAAAATATCACCACTATTATAAAGTCTAGGGTGGAGGATGTGGCTAAGGTATACAACCACAACAGTTTTCCTAGGTGTGAACCCCTAGGAAGTGGGGAGGCTTCAGCAGCACCAGAAAACCACAGGCCTCCTACAGAGGGGGAGCCTTTGCTGCTGAGCCTCCTTCCACATGACTGAGAGCACACAGAGCACATGCTTCTTACATGAAGGACAGTCCCAATGAAAATGAAGAGCCAGGGGCTGGCCAGTCTGCTCAGTCGGTTAGAGCATGATGCTGATAACACCAAGGTCCATGGTTCAATCCCTGTACTGGCCAGCAAAAAAAAGAAAAGTCAGGCTGAACTTTACATGCTCCAGTTCCTCTGCCCAAATCATCTTTCAGTCAAGTCACTAGGGGACACACTAGAGTCCAGGGTATTACACTAGTAGGTGTCCTTTCACCTGGAAGGGAATATGAGAAGTGGGGAGAAAATGCCCCACCTCAACGCTTTGGGGATGATAGAACCATGTGCAGATGTTCATGCAATACGATGCTTCTGATGCTATTCAGTAATG